TAATGGTACGATTTAGTGGCTTTTGAAATTTTAACTGAATGTTTTTCGAATCCTTCATTCATTGCTGGCTGTCATCTTTCAAAACAATCTAAAGTTCGTGAACGTTTAGGAGTTTTTCGGATTCGGTCAGTCGGCCGAGATCGACATACGACTGGACGATGCCAGTACCAGGAAATGCGTCGCAACGCGTGTCGATGATGGCACGCGACAGAATCTGTATTTGTTCTATGATGGTGAAACGATTGCCGGAACGGTAGGAGGCGTTCACCAAAGGCGTGAAAAATCATCCCTCTGTTTAGGTGCACGTTCGGTTGAAGAAACCCAACCAGAAATTGGACCACAACGGCATCAAGATAGACTTTATTGGCCAAATCGGTGAATAGTGATTATACGGTTTTCTTTCTGGCGGAATGTGAGGCAGCGTTCCTAGTGAAATCTTGATGTTATTATTAGTGCTATATGTTAATGATCCCAGTGAAAGGGGGCATGCTACGAAAAAGAAGTAGAAGATAATTTGTAATGTTTATTTCTGCAACAGTGCCAATAGTTGCTCTGTTGCACCTCGGCTGGTAATACCCATCGCCCGAGTTTGTAGGCAATGTCTTCTAAACCCCCTCCCACGCCCAGTCGACGCTTCCTGTACAGCTTCCTTTCTGTATTCCTATCAGTTTTTCGTATGTAAAAGGCTTCTTAGGATTAACTTATAGGAATTCTTTGATTGGTGCCTTGCAATTCATTACCCATTTATTGCGCCTTTCTGCCCATCGTGATAATCACTGTGGCCATGAGTAGGCAAGGATTATTGCCGGTGTTGAATTTTATAATTGCTGTGGTATTTTGCACAGTGCGACGCCTGTCGAACAGTGTATGTGATTGTTGAGATCATCACCTTTAGCTGTTTGCAATTGCAGAACGTTTCTGGTGTATTCTCAGCTTTTACATTTACATTTTTACCTTATGGCACTGCTTATTGCATCGTAGAGTGAGATTTCTTTTCCGAAAGCAGATCTGCCTCTACCTTGTTCCTCCATGTTGCGTATTGGCCTCCTGGTGGACACCTGTCCTGTTGTGGTCCCCAGCGAAAAGCCCATGCGCTAGAGTAAATGGATGATGCTCTACCAGTTTCTTTAATAGGATGAGTTTCCTTTTCTTCATATCTTCATATTTACACATCTTAAGCAGTATGTAATTAATCCAGTTTTTCATTTTGACGTTTGATGCGATTTATTTATCACTCTAGCGGTAACTGGTCGTCGCCTAGAACTAGGTTGTCATTTTTTTCATTTCTTCTAGTGTTTTTAGTCTTTCTTCGTTTTTCAATGCCGTACTTTACCAAAAAATTTTTGGCATTCTATATCGCTCAGATTTTGTTGATCTCTTATGTTGAGGGTCGAAGGAGGGTGTATGTATGTGTGTCAAGGTATTGATAGAATTATTCCACATTTTGCCTTCGCTTACGCTCGATCTAAGTTATCCTTATGCTGCAATTCTTGGTTAGTTGAGATAAAGCGTTCTGAATTGCGATGATCTGCCATTAATTGATGATGATGAAGCCTACTTCAATAACGATTTTCACGCCTTCTTTCCGCGACCTTATTGTGCTTCTCTTCCTCCCTTTACCTCTTAATTGTTGTTTTAAGGAGATTGAAGACGTTAATTATATCTTAGGCTGCTCTGATATCGGGTAGTTATTTGATTCTTCCATTCTTTATGTTCTATAGTTGTTAGTGCGTGACACAAGGAAAGTATTCGCACGATTTTTAACGCCCTTGCCACTTAAAATTCTTAGCAGTCACTTTTCAGTCTAACTGCGCGCCTCCGCCATTGTGCAGGTCAAGGGTAGAGGATAACTGATGCGTGTTTCAGCCATCATAAACCGCTCGCTGGCTGACCAGGCAGTGGTATGTCGTAACTTCTTCAATTTTGGTTGACTTTCTGCCTCGGAGTAAGAACATTGCTCCTTCTTTGAATTAATGGTCTGATGTCTTGATCGCATGACTGAACCTGCGGAGAATGCACTCACCTATCATCTTATCATTTAAGCGAGGCCAACGGTGCATTGCTTCGAGACAGAATCTTACAACGGACATCAGTAATAGTAATGGTAAAAGTTGGAATCGCGTTCGCAACTGAAATGTGATGCATTATTTGAGATAGCAGTATTATATGTGGTATTATTTTAAGATTTTAGTTATGCACAATATTAAGTGGTTTATTGGAAGATAGAGCGATACCGATGTTTCAGCCCATTCACTGGTTCTCTTCAAGGTAGATCAATTATTGCATTTATTGTTTTGTCTACAACAGTTGTTCATTTGGAGCCGCGAGACAAGTTATAATCTGTACTGCTAGTTAGATAGTTTTACAGTGATAGATACGACGATGCATCTCCAGTTCTTGCTTGGTTCTTGTCCTTTGTCAAATTCTGGGAATAATCCTCCAAAATACCGTGTCAGTGAAATTCCATGTTTATTTCGCAGCTATTCGACGTCTACTCGTATGTCGCGGCAACATGGACCTGTACCATGAAGGGAGCCAATGCGCTAGATGTATTTTAACGCTGTTATTGGTGCAGGATAATAGGATAGGATCATTAATGAGGAGGGATTACACAAGGATCCTAAATGAAACGGCAAAATAGAATACATCGAGCAGGGATTAGTATGAACTTTCTATCTAATGAAATAAGCTATATTCTGGTGGGTTGGTATTGTGCCTTCTCGTAATAGCCAAGATGCAGATCATAAAGTTTATGGCTGAATGATATCGGCGAAGAGCCGACTACACTTGAAATATGTAGCACTTATGGACAACTATATACGAACCCTGGCTGAGGAATTGACTTTCATCCAGCAGACGTTACACAGCACAGAATACAATGGCAAATGGTCACAGAAAATGCGGAGATGTCGTAACGTTTTGCGATTAATGTTTACGCATGTGTTAACAATTACTTAGGGTTTGTAATTCTTCAGCATATGAAAGTACTAAGCACGGTAGTACTTGCAGTGCCGGTAGCAGAGGTGATGACCGCATTGGTGATAGCAGTTACTGTATTCTTGAATTGCTATAGTTGTATGAATGTTGTTGGCACTTTCATCAGCCGCTGCTGTTTGAACGGTGATACTGCTGCATGTCATAGTGCTAATACTACTAGTAATTTAATGACAGCTTGCAATAGCAGTACCACTTATGGTATGAAGTGTCGCTGCAAGTGGTAGCGCTATTCGAATGTTTGAGGTGGCAGTTATAATTCGACGTGGTTCGAAAGAGTGGAATTAAATTTGCATTATTCTGACCTGCTTAAATATCTGTCGGAATAATATTTTTAATCGAATTGTTAAAACGAAATTGACTACGTTAATAAAGTTATTTCTGTTGCAGAAGTCTATTTTGATCGAGGCACTCACCATGATTTTACGTATCTGTCGAAGGATTTGGCAAAGCCCGGCGAACTTCTCCAAAACACGGAATATCATTTCGAATTCCTTAACGTGGAGAAGCCATATGAATCGTATGTCGGAGCAAACGTTAAGCTTAGGTAAGCAAATGTTGATAGGTAAAATCGAACTCTTTGTTTTACGTAACCGAAGACTGTGGTTGCTCAGTCTGTAGAGAATCGGAGCCAGAACCGAAAGGCCCTTAATTTGAGCCCCAGTCGGCCACCCGTCTTTTTTCCTTCCGAGGTAGGTAAATGAATACCATTCTGTGCAAAGGAAACAACACATTATACTTTCCACATTATCCGCTGTTGACTCTGCTTCTAAATAGAGATTAGCGGCTTGCCGTTAACTTCATGTAAAGAAAGGCGCCATAATTGCTTCATCACGAAAGCTAGACATTGCAACAGTTAAAGACTTTGATTTTTCCTTTTTTATGCTGTTACCTCCTTTAGAAACTGACAATGCAAATATTTTAGTGCAATAAAAATTGTAAAGCCAAGTAGATTAATTTATAGAGAGAAGTGTATCAAATCACGGTAACTCGTTTTGTCCGAAATACGTTGAAGAAGTAGCATAAATCTCGATGTGATTCATGTACATGTGATTCATTATCAGCCAATGTGGAATTGACTTAAAGCTAAGAAATATATCTTTAATCTTTGCACAGTGTGTTCGTACCTGATGAATGAAGAGAAACGCCGCCCTGCCACTGGCTTGCCATGCCATTTCGTAGTTGCATCATTTACTAAATTGAAAAACTTTCTTTTTTTTATAATCATATCTAATATGACGTCTGATTGCAAGAATTTTATTTGCTTTCATAAACCGAATATTTTATTTTTTGACCCATTTTCTTGCTTGTTAAAATACTATTACATTTTACTTAGCAGGTAATAGTTAGCACGAGACTGGCCTGGATTGTAAAATGTGTTAATGTTTTTAAAGCCTAAGGTAAAGGATCTGGCATCGGCACATTTTTAGGTACTTTCTTCGAGTGACGATTGCAAGACGACTGACGGATATCGTAAAAGAAATGGATATCGTCGTTCACGTCCTGTCTACTTACCCTGATACAAATAACAGCATTAAAATGGAAGTCG